AAGCAATTTGCTGTCACTTGGCAGTGACAGGAGTATACATTTACAGTTTTACTTTATTAGGATATACTAAGTGCAGCTCTGTGTCATGACTTAGTTAGAAGGGGTCTTGATTGTCTGTCTCTTCTAGAGCATCACATTGGTTCACTATACCGAAGACACTATGCTGACTTGGACCAAGTGAGCAAGAGATTTATAGACTTGTTAACACATGCACATCAGAGGATGGGAAATAAATCCAACCAAAATTTAAGGGCCTTCTAGCTCAGTGAAATCCTTAGAAGTCCAGTGATGCTGGGGGGTGGTGGCGCACGCCTTTAATCCCAGCACTTGGGAGGTAGAGGCAGGCAGATTTCTGAGTTCGAGGCCAGCCTGGTCTACAGAGTGAGTTCCAGGACAGCCAGGGCTACACAGAGAAACCCTGTCTTGAAAAACCCAAAAAAAAAAAAAAAAAAAAAAAAAGGTCCAGTGATGTGGGGCATGCAGAGATATTCCTTTTAAGATGAAGGATATGCTATTGCACTTGGCCTCTCCCACCTCCAAGAAAGAAGGACAATATTTAGTAAGCCCATTAGGATTCTGGAGACAGCACATTCCTCACTTAGGTGTGTTACTCTGGCCCATATGTTAAATGACTCAGAAGGCTGCTAACTTTGAATAGGGGCTGGAACAGAAGGCTTTTCAATGGGGCCAGACTGCTGTGCAGGCTGCTCTACAACTTGGACTATATAATTCAGGAGACCAGATGGCACCTGAGGTGTTAGTGGCAGACAGGGATGCTGTTTGGAGTCTTTGGCAGACCTCTATAGAAGAGTCGCAGAAGAGATCTTTAGGATTTTAGAAAAGGCTCTACCATCATCTCTCTGTGAGAGAGACAGCTCTCAGCCTGCTATTGGGCCTAAGCAGAAACTGAACGTTTTACAATGAGCCATCAAATTCCCATGGGACTTCAAGCTGCCCATCACGATCTGGGTGTTATCTGACCCATCAAGCCATTTAGTAGGACGTGCACAGCAGCAATCTCTTATCAAGTGAAAGTGGTGTATACATGATAGGGTCTAAGCAGGTCCTGAAGACATAACCATATTACATGAAGGGGTTGTACAAATGTCTATGCTATGGTTTTTACTGCCATTACAATGCTGTCTACTGCCAAGCATGCACCTCATGGGGCACTGACTATGACTGGTTGGCTGAGAAGAGAAAAATAAGGCCTGGTTTATTAATGGTTCTTCACAATGTGCAAGGACCATCCACCCAGGAAGTGGACATCTGCAGCATTACAAACCCTTTCTGGGACAATCCTGAAAGATACCAGCAAAGTGAAATCTTTGTGCAAAACTCCAGGTGGTACACATAGTCATGAAGTCATACATTTGTTTGGAAAGAGAAATAGCCAGATGTGTGATTTTTCACTTATCTATGAGCTGTATAGTGGACTGGCTATATAGACAGGGATTTGAAAAGAGTGTGATTAGAAAATTGGTAAGACATATGAGAAAGAATAGACAGATCTCTACAAATGGGCAAAGAAATATGAAGATAACTGTGTCCCATGTAAATGCTTAACAATAGGTGACTTATACAGAAGAGGAATTCACTAATCAAGTAGACAGAATGACCCATTCTGTGGACAAGGCTTTTTCCCCAGCCATCCCTATTATTACCCAATGGACTCACAAAAAAAAGTGGTCATGTTGGCAGAGATGGACGTTATGCATGGGCTCACAACATGGACTTCCACTCACCAAGGCTGACCAAGCTATAGCTGCTGTGGAGTGCCAGATATGCCAAAGCAGAACCAGCACTAAGTCCCAGATATGGTACTATTCCCTCCGGTAATCAGCCAGCGACCAAGTGACAGGTTTACTACACTGGATCACTGGAGTAGATACTTAAATTCTGGTTATAGATTTCCCTTTCCTGCCAAAACCACTATCCACGAACTTATAGAATCCCTAATATAGTCATGGTATTCCACACAGTATTGCTTCTAACCAAAGAACTTACTTCACAGTCAGAGAATCGCAACAGAGGGCCTATATCATGGAATCCACTGGTCTTACCATGTCCCCCACCATCCTGAAACTGCTGTCCTGACAGCAAGATGGAATAGCCGTTTGAAGACACAGTTACAGTACAAATTAGGTAGCAGCATCCTAGAGAGCTGGGGCTGGTTCTCTAGAAGGCAGTATATGCTTTGAATCAGCATCCAATATATGGTACAGCTTCTCTTATAGATAAGATCCGTGAGTCTAAGAATCAAGGGGTGGAAGAGAAAATGATTCCACTCACTAACACCCATAGTGACCCACTAGGAAATTTTTTGCTTCCTGCTCCTACAATCTTAAATTCTGCTAGCTTGGAAATTTTGGTTTCATCGGGGGAAGGGTTCCTGCTAGGAGACACAACAAACATTCCACTGACGTGGACGCTCAGGCTTCCCTTGGCCACTGTGGGCTTCTGATGCCCTTAAGTCAAGGGGGAGGGGGGTGACTGGTCCAGATTACCAAGGGGAAATTGGATTGCTTCTCCACAATGGAGGAGGAAAGATTATGTCTGGAATACAGGAGATCCTTCAGGGTATCTCTTAGTGCTACCATGTATTTTTTAGTCAATGGGTAACTATAACAGCCTACCTAATCCAAGCAGGATGACAAAAGGCACAGAACCATCAAGAATGAAGATATGGGTCACTGCTCCAGAAAAAGCAAGACCTGCTGAAGTGCTGGCTGAGGGTGGAAAAATACAATGTGTAGTAGAGAAGGGTAGTTATGAGTATCAGCTAAAGCCACATGACAAGTTAGGATTATAATTAACATGAGTGTTTCTACCATATTTTGTTAATTATGTGTTTATACAGATATTCAGTTTTCCCCTCAATTTCTTTATCATATAACATAACATTAATTAAGAAAATATCAGTAGTTATATTTAAATTGAAATACTAAAAGAATATCCCTCAAGGTACACTTCCATCTACTCCAAATTTATAATGTACAATTTGCAGCTGTACAAGGGATAGTTATATCAAGTTAAGAATAATAATGACTTGGTTATTGCTTTGATTTGGAAATTAAGCAAGGCAGAAAAGATAGGAATGTGTGTCAAGTAGAGCTAACAAAAAACTCAATTACATTTTGTACCTGAGAAGACACATGAAGTAGAACTAGAACTTGTAAGCAGCAGGAAGCCACTGCAGTATGTATTTCCCTCTTTGAGGTGACTCTAAATAACTTTGACTTTCTCCAACACTTGGCACATTGTTCCAAGCATGTTTTAATAAAGGCCTGAGTCAATAATATATCTACTTTCACAAATTAGAGAAGTAATTTATTTAAATGTATTACCAAACATTATCCTTCCTACATTTCTCCAAGCTCTTACACTGACTATGACTCAGGTTGACAGTGCCTGCTAGCATCTGGGAGGCACTTCATGTCTCACAGAATCTTACACTGACTATGACTCAGGTTGACAGTGCCTGCTAGCATCTGGGAGGCACTTCATGTCTCACAGAATCTTGTGTCCTCTTCTCAGTAACACATCACTTTTTAAAGTCACTTTTCTGTGTTTTACATTTTTACAAAATTTGTGTGTGGATACTCACTGGCTGCGATGTACATGCCAGGGCTAAAGGGCCACCATGTGGAGCCGGCTCTCTCCGTCCACATTTACCTGCTCTAGGGACCGCACAGGTCACCCAGTCTTTACTGTAAACACTCCCCTCACTCACTGTCAAGCTTAGCCCTTCCCACACTTTCTAAAGTCTGCTGAGTCTGGTGGTTACCCGTGCACTGTACCATCCTGCCTTATTTCTTCATCCTACAGAGGAAACTGTAGGTGCCCTTAATTAATTATAGTATCTTTTTATTTTCAAAGTTCAGAGCAAATTTCACCTCTATGAAGTCACCTCACCCTGAAAAATTTAAATCAGCCCTCAATTCTTTTTTAGAAAATACCTTAGAAATAAACTATCTTTTAAAGTGTCTAGAAACTTTTTCAATTCACACTTGTATCATTTGATGATATTCATTAGGGAAATTAAAGCAAATTGTAAAATAATGCATTTTACTTTAAAAAGAGAACACTTGGGCATCAGCGTCTTTTTCTTTAAGACAGGGTCTTGTTATAGCTCCCTTTGGCTTGGAATCGAGGTCCTCTTTCCTTTGGGGATTAGGAGTGTGTATCTCTCTCATCTAGCTTTACTTAGGTGTCCTTAAAGTATATGTTAAACCACTAGACTTAATTACAAAGATATATATATATAAAACTGAATTAATGTAGAACTAAGGTAAATACACTTCCCACCCAGAGGAAGGAACAGTGATGCTACAAATCTCTTCAACTATAACCTCACTCTCTTCCCTTGGTAATTCCAGTTTTTTAAAAAGTGCTACAGCATCAGATTCTGAGATTTCTACACTTTCGATCAATTTTAAGGATTATTCCAAAGGCTGAAGGTCAATTCATAACCTGCACTTAGTTGAGAGATGCAGGAGTTGGAAAACCTTAAATGGTGTACATAATTTCGATAAAGGAAGAATCATGGCTATCTTCAGAATCTCAAGGAAGTCTATATATTTTTTAACGTCGTTAAGAATTCTGCATTAGAGTTGAAGGCTAGCCTGGTCTACAGAGTGAGTTCCAGGATAGCCAGGGCTACACAGAGAAACCCTGTCTCGAAAAACCAAAAAAAAAAAAAAAAAAGAATTCTGCATTAGTATTACAATCAACCAAAGTGACAAGACTGTGTGTGTGTGTGTGTGTATGGGGGTTGGGGGTGCATTTAAACAATGCAAGTACTGCTAAATGTCTAAATAAAATGCATCCTTTCATCCAATGACCCAGATCCTGACACTGGCCTTCTAATCCGAATGTCTTCTGATTTAGAATGAGGAAAAGGAGTTCTATCCCCTACCCCGACCCCCAAAATTCAATCTTTGACCGACCCACCGCATCCGGTCAGGTTCCGAGCCAGAGAAGGGCAGGAGCTCGCGTACCTGGGCGCTGGTTCGATTAAGGTGGTAGTATCCAGGTAGTGGATTTTGTAGAACTCCAGCAAGGCCGGCAAATGGTCAAACTCCTGGTCCCCGATCTTAAAGCGGCGGTTGGGCAGCGAGTTGATGATGTAGTGCGAGACACGCGAATTCTCGGACACGGACAGTACATAGTCCCCGGGACAGGTAGATGAGTCCCGGACTAGGAACATGCCATGGCGCTGGCCCTGGAGACGGTTCTGCGCCTCCTGGCGAGACACTGGTCCCATATACCAGGCAGAGCGGTCTGAAGAATCAAACCTGGCGGAGGACATGGTGTTGGGCCCGGGGATGGGCGGCGTCTGCTACTCTCGCTTGATCGAGAAGCCTTTACCCGCTGTCGGCTTTGGGGTCGACCAAGGGCCTCTCGGAACACTTCGAGGAACAATCAGAGGGCTTGGTCAGGACGTTCCTCTAGACTCCGGGCCCCGCAGCATCCTCCGCCACCGCCCTCCTGCACCGGGCCGACTCACGAAGAGAGCCGGTCCGGGAACACTGGGCAAAGCTCCGGGGTCGAGGTGGGTGAAGCGGAGCAGGAGCGGAGGCCGCCTCGGGCTTTTCAGCTGTCTGGAGTACAGGGGAAGCGCCAGTGACTTCTGTCCTGGAACCTGCCAGCTCCACAACCTAAAGACCCCACACCGATCTTCGCCGTCACACGAAGCACGGCACTCCAACAAGAGTCGCACTTCCCGGGCCGTCTTACCTTGCCCGTACCCAATAGCCACAGCAACAAAATGGCGGACGCGGGAGAAGCGGCGGGCACCTCCCCCTTGGTCCAGCGCACTCTAATCTGCGCACGCGCGGAGCTGGCGCTAACCCCCCCACCGCGGGGGCCCTTCCTTTGACGTCTCCAGGCTCAGCCAATGAGGAGTACGTTCGCGAGGGTCCCAGCGTGAGCCACTCCAGCGAGCTCCCGCGTTCCGGGAGGAGGCGAAGGGTCAGGCCCTTCCTGGACCGCAAAGTAGCTGCCGAGTGATAGCTGCTGTCAGGCCTCCCGGGCTTGGCAGGGAAACAGCTGGAGCCGAGAGGGAATAGCATTTTCAAAACTTGTTTCTGGGAACAAAGCGTAGAGTGGTGGCTGAATGACTGGCCAGGGAGGCGTGGCCCTCAGGTGATTGCGAGCCAGAAGGCCCTGATAAATCAGGTGGCTCAGGAAGGGCATGACCTAGGCCATGAGGTGACCATCTAATAGGTTACTGAATAACGCCTGCCCTAGGTGATTCTCCTTGGTACACGTGGAATGATGGTGAAGATCAGTTTAACTAATGCTTTTAGAAGAGCCCACCAGGTAGATTAGGCTGGCTAAGCAGTTAATGGTAGACTTGCAACTATCTGCATTCCAACACACCTAGCTTTTTTTCGTTAGAGTTCTGAAGATGGGCTTGATCTTGTGCAGAGAACCAGCTTTGAGTTCATGAGTGCCGCTGCCATTTTATGTCTGGAATACGATATTTCATGGCACTCTTTCCTTATTTTTGTAAGATTTATATTTTAGGGGGAAAAAGTTGTTGGAACCTTGAAAAAAAGATTTACATTTTGGCTTGGCATAATGCTGCATACCTTTAATCCCAGTGCTCAGGAGGCAGAGGCAGTTGGGTTATTGTGAATCTGAGGCCAACCTAGTCTACATGGAGTGTTAGAGGCCAGACAGAGCTATATAGTAACACCTTGTCTAAAATAGCAACAAACACGTAAAGTGTGTACGTGTGTGCGCGTGTGCTCATGCATTCCTGTGTGTGAGTGTGTGTTTGTGAGAGAGAGAGAGAATTGAACCCAGGTTCTCTGCAAGAGCAGCAAGCACTCTTACTTATTGAGCCATCTCTCCAGCCCCTAGTTCTTGTGTTCTTTCTGTTCCCTCCATGTTTCCTGAACTGTGTCAGTTGAATGTTCATAGTCTCTTATTATCTGCACTTTGACCAGTTATAAATCTGTACATCAACAGTTGTGCACTGAAAAAAAAAAAAAAGCTTTTCTGACCAAGCTTTATATAGCCGCATAAATCTATGGGTAGTAATGTAAATATGTATGTGTGTCTATATACATGTATGCCACATGTGTGTGGGTGCCTAGGCAGGAGAAAACATTGACCCACCCTGGAGCTGGAGTTTCATGTGGTTGTGAGCTGCCCAATAAGGAGAGTGGCGATAAATGCACTCTTAATGAGTGTTTCTTTAGCTCTTTTATAACTTCAGAATGTTATTGCTGTTTCTCCCCCTCCCCCTCCCCCTGGGGGCGGGGGCGCCGGCGCGCGCGGCGGGCG